CCGGTGCACCTCTCTACCCACGCAGCTCGAGAGCGGGCGGCGCGGGTGCGCGGCGGGAGGCGGCGGCCCGGGTGCTGGCGCCTGGCTCCCCCCTGCCGCGAAGGGCGGGAGTGGAGCGGTCCGGCCGGGTTGGCGCGGGCTAGCTGAGAAGGGGGCTGTCCCGGCTCGGCCCCCCGCGGGCGTGCCCGGGCTCCCGCGCGGCGGACGTCCCGCTTGCGTCCTGCAGCGCGATCCTGGGCTGCAGCCCTCGTCCCTGACCCAGGAAAGACTTTTAGTGCGACTTCAGAGCACTGAAGTCTTTTGTCCTCGTGGTGGTGTAAAGGGGTGGAGTCTGCCACCCTCCAAAACATGTGCTGTTCTGTTCACTTTGTAAAACTGGCAGACCAAGTTCTTTTAGCAAGGGCCAGGGTAGGAAGCTGTAGCTCCCACCCTGGATCTGTAGACGGCCTTGTGAGCCCAGCCGCTGTGCTCCATCCCGCACGGCTTCAGAGTGGCTCCCACCACCCAGCAGTCCCTGGGCTAGATCCGGGAGCAAATATCCGACCTCTGCTCTGTTGGAGTCATGTGGGAGCCAGTTATGAACGGAATAATATAAATAACTATTAAATCACATAAGTATAATAGTGATAATTGTGTGGTTTTATTACTTTGATAATAAGATGCATATTAATCTGATTATAACCACTAATAATGGTAAATGTAAACATGATTGTGCATATGATACAAATGAGTGGGGCAGACGCCATGAGGAAAAAATTAAGTGATATTGAGGTGGCATGAAATGGCCAATGTGGCGAAATAGAAGGGAGATTTCTTGGCGCTCACACAGGCAGAGAGAAGAATTAGAAGATATTGTGGACACCCTGGAGTGGGTAGTGGGAAGGATGCCGCAAGAAGTCGTGAAGCCAGTGCTGAAAGTAGTTAGCACTGTGGTCTCGAGTTCGAAGAGGAACAGTTCCAAGTGCAAGAAGTTGGCCATTTACTCAAGTTTGAAGAAAAACCACTTACAAATGGACCTCCTTACTTGCTAAGTTGAGCAAACACGATACATGTTTACTGTTACAGACCCCGGGAATACCAAGACTAATAAAGCATCTGATTTAAGAAAAAAAATTTTTTTCATTGGACAGTGCAGATTATGACTAGAGCTTTCATCTTTATTATAGAGGTTTCCTTCATATGTAGTATCTCCTTGAGTCCTCCCAATATTCTTGCAGATTTTTACTGTCCACACTTTTAAAATACTCAGATTGTAAGAAGGTTTTTCTAAGAGAAAAAACATTGCCACCGGGCCATTAAGTAAGTGACAGCAGCAGGCTGCCAATTGGAAGCCATTTTTTATGCTCCCAGAGCCAACATTCTTTCCAATTTCTTCACTTTCCTGTAGGCTGCCAAGAAGCTCAAAGTGAAATTTAGTTAAGAGGTCTTCCCACCACCACCACTCCATGAGTCAGTGATTTTATTTGCATTTACTTCTTTTCATTATAACTTAAATCCTTTTTAAAATGGAGTCCAACTCTTGAGTAGATCATAAGTTTGCAAAGCTCTGGAAGCAGCCTTGTTCAGCTATTATTTGGCAACCTGTAAGCTTTAGAAATCTGCCTTAACCAGCCCTCAGTTTTTCTTCAGGTAGTAACCCAGAAATTTACTTCCTACGCCCACCAAAATTCACACTTGAATAATATTTTACAGTTGAGTCCATAGTGCTGTGTTTTGTTGGCAAGGACTGGTTCTGCTCTGCTCAGGGAAATTCCTAAAGAATCCAGATTTAACACCTTCCTGTGACAATGCTTTCTGTTAATGGCTACTGATGGAATGAATAAAGTGTGAATACCAAGTTTCAGCGGGCACTGTAAGGACTAGGCCCTTCACAGAGGCAGCACTATACATATTTCAACAGAGGAAAAAGTGACCTAGAGATTGCAAAGAAATTCTTTCAAGAAGTCTCTGTCTAGCAATCTATGTTTATTTGCTTTTAAAATGTTTAGGAGGGGCGGGGGAGATGGCTCAGTGGAGATGGCTCAGTGGAATAAGTGCTTGCCTGCCAAGCACAAGGGCCTGAGTTCAATCCCTGGTTCCGCAAAAAAAAAAAAAAAAATGTTTAGAACAAGTAGTTCTCTTGAACAGGTAAGCAGTTGGTTATTCAAAGCTGATGAAATGAAGAATATGCCACTCCAAAATACCTTACTCTGATATAGTGATGATTTTCACCTAAAGATACTTTTTGAAAAGTAGCCTGGGCAAGATCACACTGACCTTTGCGCTACTCATTAATGCTGAAATCCCCTTGTGACAGGTGCCTCCTCTTTCAAAAGGAAAGCAACAATGTTATCACAGGCAGGAAATTGAAGTCTAGCAAAGTCTGTACAGACCAATCTCGTTAAATTCACTCTTATCATTACAGCCACTTCATCCAATTAACTACACCAACTAAGGCCCTTTGCCTAATCACATTTTCACAGGTTCAATTTTAACTACATTTTAGGGCCTACATATCCTTAGACGACTCCCACACCACCCAAAACTTGTAGGGGAATAAACCTGTGTGATTTCCTTGTAGTAATCTACCTTATGTCAGTTTAACTGGAGCGGGTGGAGGTGGAGTTTTGGCTACAGTACAAAGCTGACATTGAACCTACTTTAAATGAGGAGAGAGAGTTGTGTTTGGCTGTCAGCCCTGGTCCACAATGCATTCTTTGTAAAAGGAATCCACACCTCTTCTCTGAAGCAATGTCACTCTTCCTAGAGTTTAGTTGTGATAAAAAATTTTAACCCATCTTTTACAAAAAGTCTGGCTACTTTGGGGCTCTGGATAACTCAGAAAAGAAAGGACTTGACAGAGAGCTGGAAACTATGTAGATAATACCTGAATAGTGCTTAGCACCACATTTGATTATTGAAGTCAGAGTTCCACTCCATAACATTCAGGTTGTTCTCTATCTTTTGGTCTCTTGAAACTTCATTTCATTGTGATTAGCCTAGCAAAGAGAGAGATTCCTAAATGTGAAAGAGTTCCACATCTTCTCCTCGAAAG